AGTTTTGGCAACCAACACTAATTGATATATAAAATTTTCGAAAATTTTGAAGATACTTCAATTACAAATTAAACCTGGTTGGAGGGTTTTAACAATATCCGTAATAAAAAATGTTTTTCATGGTTTGAAATATTATAAACAAGTATTGGTCAATGACGAAAAAAGGTTTATATGCTAATTTTACAATATTATAGTAACATGCTATAAACAAGTGTACGCAATATGAGCTTTGCGAATTCGTGAAATACATACTTTCCTGCAACAACATAATAATGTTCAATTGTATATCTATCTTCAAGTAGATTTTCTGTATTGGAAATCTACACACTCTCCGTCATCTAATCTCGTTGTGGACACTCTACTTGAAGTGTCAATGTCTATTATTATTGTTGTCATTATAAACAAAAGTTGAGGAGATGTAGATAATAACTCTTAGAATTTCGATATTGTTTTTTCCTAGATTCACGTTGCAAAAATGATGAAGGCAATTCAGACCCAAAAAAAACAATCAATTTTTAGGCACTATGGAAGATGAGAGAGTTGCAGAAAAAATAAGAGATCCTGAGGCTTATTATAGAAAATGGAATAAAATTCCTAAGGCTCAATTAGAAAGCCAACTTAATAAACTTAATAAAAGAGAGAAAGTTTATTGAATAGGTGGAATATTATTGTGTTTCTTATGTGTTATTTTAACTGTCAAAATAATTAAGATTAGGAAAAATAAAAGTTAATCATGACATCTAACATTTTTTATTTAGTATAAAAACTATTTAATTACATTTTACGCTGGCTTGGGGCAATTAATACCTTTGTATTTATCTTTCACAAATGGGTGAATATTAATATAAAGGTATTCTTGTCTTTTATAGTCCAAAACAGGTATATTAACACTAAAATAGATAAAGATTTAATTTCTTCAAAAATATCTGTTTTTTTGGTTTTCAATAAATTGAATCCAGTAAAAGGTCCATTAGCAATCTCCCGAGCTTTAACTACACCAAGATTGGATGCTTCAAAAAGAAAATATTGATATTTCTGTATACTTGGTAATTAAAATAAATTCAAAATTGCTTTAATATCTAAGTATTGAAAACCTTTTCCGGTGAATTTTGATAACGTAAAAATAAACGTTAACATAAAACATTGATTCATTTTGTCAACAATCACTTCAACTGTTGTTTCGTTAACAAATGGCTCGAATTTAAGAAGTTGGAAGCAACCATTTGAAATAGTCTAATAAATTAAATCGTACTACTCGAAAATGTATTTAAAGGGTTGGTTTTCGACTTGGTTGAAGAATAACTCTCTTCCTAACTCTTCTCTTGACCATATCTCTCGATATAACCAAAATAACTTTAATATAACGAATGCCAACATTTAAGATATACGATTCGATTAAGACAAAATATAAACGATGTATGAAAAAATCAAACAAATTTATTTAATAAAAAAAATTACAAATTTTTTTTTGCATGTCCTAATAAAATTTTCCATTGTTGCTGCATCATTTATTGCTGATTCAACGTTACCCAGATCATCAACTGTATTTTCGATATTTTCGATAAACTCATTTTCGTTTAATCTTTTCGTTATACTTTCTTTTAGTGCGTTGACGTTTTTTTTGATTTCGAATTCAAGATAGTGCAAGATATCAAACGTTTAGATTGGCTCCTTTGTAGACAATGATTGTGATATATGCACTATAATTATTCAAGTTAGCATAGTAGATGGTTTCCTAGAAGTAACAAAGCCTCTTGGAAGGTGACGATCGGTTATTTCGTAAACTAAAGAATGCAATTGACACCATCAGATGAAGTTTTAGTAATCAAAGGATACTGATTTCATGCTTGATATAGTGATAGTACCTACCGAATCTATATAGACTGCAAGGTCGAACTTAAAAGAGTTAATTTTTGTATTATTAAGAAGATCATTACGTTTAAATGGCCGAGTTGCTAAATAGAGTTGGTCAAAAAACCTGGTTCTATTTCTTGAAACAATCTTCGTATTTCATTAAGATCGTATATAGGACCTTCTTTATTTGAGCATTCTCTTTCATAAAAGATTTTGATCATCATCTTCATGTTTGCCTTTCTCAATATTTTCAGTTGTTACATTCTATTTTCTGTTTTTTTTTTTTTGGTCTTATTTCATGTTAGTAACGGCAAAATCTAATCATTATAATCAGGATCTTTTAACACTTCTATCTGTTGCTTCCGTTGTTGCTGTTGATAAACGGAGGAAGACAACATCAAACGTGTATGTGAAGAGAAAATTTGACCGACCAATTAATTAATGTTTTGGACAAGGAAGAAGATAATGCTGAAGATATCCATGAAAAATTTGTTATAGTTGATGATGATGATGATGATAATGATAATAAACTGTGAAATAATCTTGATTCTATACTCCTCAATCTTTTAGTAACTTTTGTGTTTTTTATTTGTGTTGTTGGATGATGATGATAAATTCCTTGGATTTAAGAATGTCTATTTGCAACAATAGCTTCTCGCTTCTCACCAACATACAAGCCTTCAGGATCATGAAACGTGATACTTTTGCTCGTGTAATCTGCTACTGATATCTCCACATTTTTTTATCCTTGTCTTCTTTCAAAAAGCATTGTACATTTGGCGTGAAATCTTAAACATCATAACTTCATAACCTCTTCAGAAAATGTCATTGCCAACAGCTAGGATTCTTCAGACCATTGATGTGTATGTCGAGTTTGATTGCTTGGTAAACTACTAACTAATAGATAATATAATTAATTCATTGAAATATTATCATTAGTGATTACTTGCAGCAAAAAACCTACTTTAATTTTGGCATCAAAAAAAAAGATCACACGAACGAATATACACAACCTTTAATTATAAAACATCTTGAATTCTAAATAACTGAATTCTCTCATTTAGCTGAAACACCACCTCGCCAGAGACTGTTTCATTAGTTTTGTGGCGATTTTTACCAATCTGATCATGAATAAAATTGATGACATTTTTGACGATGATAAAATAATAAAATATTACATTTATTGTCATTTGGTGCTAGTATTTATAACTTGAATCAACAATAAAGTAGATTTACAATCAACATCACGAGAAATTAAATTAAATGCAGCTATGATCAACCAAATTTGATTAGCTTTAATTATGCAAACACTTTATTCTACCACTTTGGTATTATTAATTTATTGTGATCTACCAAATTAATATTAAATCCAATATTCAAATTTTTATCATATGTATACGTGCAAACACATGCACAAATGAGCAAAAAAAAAAGTGGTTTAGTTTTTTATTTTTTTTTTGTACAGTGTGTTACAAAAAAAATTGGAAATTTTTAAATGAACATTGTGAAACAACTACTGTATTAGTTCGCGTGAAAAATGGCTCATTTGATAGTTTAAAATAATAATTTTTATTGATAAGATTTTAATAAGAAATCCTTTCGCCATTATTTTCAATGACCAGTTCACATCTCGATTTCATTGAATGAATTAAACTAATTAGAAGTGAATTAGGAATTGCATCCCACTCCTCAGCCATAAACTGCACCAATTCCGCCAGATTTTTTGGCATTCTCTTCTCCACATTCCTCTTAACAATAGCCCACAAATTTTCTATTGGGTTTAAATCAGGACTGTTGGATGGCCAATCCATAACTTCAGGAAAGTTTTCTTGAAGAAATGTTTTGGCTCAGCGGCTTGTATGTTTGGGATCATTATCCTGTTGAAACTGCCAATCATCCCCTAACATTCTTTGGATCTCTGGGCGATGATTCTCCAATATTTCAACATAAAATTCTGCATTCATAATTTGTTGGAAGCAAAAAAGACTGGTCTTTCCATGGATGCAAAAGCCACCTCAAGCAAAAATTTTGGTGCGATCTTTTGGCATTGGGCGAATGGGGTCTTACATTCTTATACCATCCTTCAATTGTGTTTCAGTAAAGCTGGAAAGCTGTCTCATCCAAAAATAGTGGTTTCCCCCAATTATCATTAAGATGATTTTGTGCCCACTCCACATGACATTCTTTATGCCTTATTGTTAGCATTGGGGTGGCTCTTGGCAAATTTTTCTTATATCTGATCCTTTCCAAATGCCTTAATACTGTTACATATGAGACCTCTATTCCTTTATTTAACATTTTATTAGCCAAAGACCTCAAAGAAATAGAAGAATCTCTATGAATATATTGTCCGATTGCACACAATGCTTCCGCAGTAATTTTCTTTTTTCTACCATTACCCCTTTATGTTCCACATTACCATTTTTTTTCAACTTTACAATATTAAAATAAATAGTTGAGAGTGGGATGTTCGTAATATTATGTAATTGACAAGCAGAACATATCCCCTGATTCCAATAATATAATAAGGTTGTACGTTGCTGTTCTTTTGTAGATTGTGTCATTTTATTAGCAAATTACACAAAAAAATTTTATTTGATTTGGTTAAAAGATAAAACAGACTAACTCTAATAAAGAAAGGCTTTGGTTTGAATTTTATTTGATGCGGACCAGACCGTTTTTGGTAAAGTTATTAAATTTTTTTTTACATCAAAAAATTTCCAATTTTTTTGTAACACACTGTATATGCAGAGCGCCCCAAAATTTCTTTAAATGAATGTATAATAATAATAATAATAATATGGGGCATACTGCAACAAAACCAGACAAAGTGAACATTGGTATTACCAAAGATTTCAGGGATCAAAATTTAGTAATGTGATTATTAAAATCTTCCATTTGTTATCCTCTTGATATATAGAATTACCTCTATATAAAAATAGTTAATATGAAGCTAATTTACATCAGATCTACTATGGAACCTAAGAATTATAGTACCATTAGAAGTATTTTAAAAAAAGAACAAGGTGAAAAAATTGCTCCTTATATTTTTAAATTAGCAGATACTAAATCCTTGCAAACATATTTAGATAAAGAAAGGATTACCTATGAAATTTA